AATAACATCTTACTGATTTTGCACCAACTGTGAATGATCTAGAGAAATTTGTTTAATTGGTCTATATATATTTATTGAAGTCCAGTCCATGCCATTCTATAATGATGAATTAAACACATGTCAACCCTGTCCCCATGAAGCCTGCTGTGTGGTAATAGAGGAGATATTTAAAACATACACATATAGGGGCACCTGGGTAGTTCAGTCGGTTAAGCGTCTGCCTTCGGCTCAGGTCATGATCCCGGGGTCCTGGGATCAAGCCCCGCATAAGGCCCCCTGCTCAGCGGGGAGTCTGCTTCTCCCTCTCCCATTGCCTCTTTCCCCCATTAGAGCTCTCTCTCTCTCAAATGAATAAATAAAATCTTTTAAAAAAACATACACACATATATAGAAATATATGACTAGTACAAATTGTGTTAAGAACAATAAGGAAAAAGAACTGAGAATAAAGGAGAGAGAGAAATACAATTTAAATTGGCAACTCAAGTACATGACCTTGAAGCCAATACTTGGGTGTAAAGAGATTGGCTGGGAGAGTGCTTGCCAAGAAGGGAAATGGGAGATTCTCCAAACCAATTAACATCCCCATTCAATTTGAGGACAATATTTATAATTAAATTTTAATGGCAATCTAAAATGTACTTTTTATGTTTCAAACCCATTCTTATCAATATGTCACATGCAATTTTAGAACAAACACTAGTTATTATAAATACAAAAGTTTCCTTGATGTTATAAAACTAAAAGAATTCCATTCATCACATAGATAAATTTCTAGTAATAAATTAAGACGATATATGAATATATTAAAAATTAACTGCTCTTAGAAGAATTTTTTAAGACGATGGCTTTAACAATTACTCCACTAACATTTAAGATACTTATAAATACACCAATCTCATTATCTTGGCAGACAAGATTTCACTTTAATTTTTTTACTGATTTTTCTCTTTAACTACTTGACCATAATTTTATGTGCCTTCTAGGTTTAAACAAGGAAACTTTACAACTAGGGGGGCAAAGCTATTGTACAAGTTAGCAGGAAGGGTTTTGTGTTTCCACTACCTTTTCTGGGTTCAATCCCACAAAGCACAATTTACTGGTAAATTGGGAGAATTCTGCCCCTTGCTTTCTCATTCTCGGCTCTTCATCAGGCAGCTCTTACCGCCACAAACCTTGAGCACCTTCTCCTCACTCCCCCCCTTCCCTGACACAATGATCCTGGTACCATCTGCTCTCTCCTTCCCGCCCCTGCCCCCAGGTCCCCTGCTTCCTGCCATTCCTAAATCACTTTCCTTCTTGTTATTTCTTTGCCTATGAGTGCTCCTATATTCACAATCTGACATTAGGTTAGGAGCAAGAGAATATTTAGGTGATCTTCAGAGTTGCCGATGAAAATAATAAAGCAAACTTTCTGCCCTTGTCTCTAGTTCATACACCTGAAAATACAAATGGAACATATCAAGTTCATTCCAGAAGTCCTATATATTCACCTACCCACTTTTCCTTTCTTCTGATGAGCTTTTACACTATGAGAGCAGCAAGAATGTCATGGAGAAAATAAAGATGATAGATATAATGTAACTTGCAAATTGCAACCTGCTTAGGTATCTGATTGTTCAGTTGCTACAGGATTTGGATTTTTTTAAAAACCTGCCTAAAAACCGAGATAGGAGCAAGTGGTAGGATTTCTGGTGACTGAATTTGAAATATCAAAATTAAAGCTCAAATACCAAACTTTTCTGCTAAGAACTCTCAAATAAGATCATGAAGGAATGAATTTCCAACTGGAATCTAACGGCCAGTGTGGCTATTCCTGCTTCAATCTGTGCGTAAATTCCTGTAAAAGTGCAGAGTGAAAAGCTATTCTGAATATCGGCAGTTAAATTATTCTTGTGAAGTTACATAGCGTTTCTATTAGCCAGGCAGCATTTCAACCCTGACAACAAGCCTAAGAAGTAGGTATTGTAGTCATTCCCATTTTACAGATGAGGAAGCTGTGTCCAGGGTCACTGAACCAGCAAGAGGCAGAACCTGGAGTTTAGCTCAGGCAGTCCTGCTCCGGAGCCCATTTTCCTAACCTCTCAACCAAACCGTACTGTTTTTCTAGAATCTGCTGCTTCTCCTATACAGTCGATGGGAAGTCTTTGTCCACAGAAAAGGCCGAAGAAGAGTTGCTGAATGTGCACTACTATACTCTGCCTCTTCAGGCCCTGCCCATCTCGGGCCCTGGACAAGAATGTGTCCCCAGGCTCTTAGCGCATCCACAGCCTCCTGAGTCATAAAGTTGTTTTGTAAGTGAGAGTGCCTTCTACATCATAAAACAGTGAATATGAGGCGCACCGACATTCAGGTGTCTCTCTTCTACCCTATTTGCTCATTTTCACCCCACGACCAGCAAGTTGTCCCAAGTTCTGAGTACCCCATGTGTGGACCAAGATGGCAGCATCCCAGCTGGCCCCCAGGACGCTCTCCTCTCATGTGGCCTTATCTCCTGCACAGTGCTCCCATGCTAACCTTCCTTAAATAGTATCTTCTTCACAATGCTTCTCTGCTCAAAATTTTCTGTGACAATTCATTTCCTACCTGAAGGAGGGTACTTGAGTGGAGGGTACTTGAGAGACTATTGTTAAAATGGTGAGAAGTAGTAGTGGGGACTCCTTTTCTGAATTCAACTCTACAACGCTCCCGATTATCACATTTGAAATCACTTTTTCTTCTGTACCTTTTCTTGTATAGAACACATTATTCCTATTCTGCTCCATAAATATGGCCCGCAGTCCAAATGAATACAACACTGACCCATTTACCATCAACACAGCATCTCAACTCCTCCCAGATTTCCATGTGTATTTATGATTCCCCTCTCCTTGCTGGGAGTCTCTCCTGTCTGTCAGACCCCTTTTCTCTGTCCTGCACATTCCCAACCTTTATTTGGGGTCTTCCCCTGAGCAGACCTTTCAGTCCATCTTAGCTCAAATCTACCTGTTACACCAAACCCTTCCAACTATACACCCCTCACTGATGTCCTTCTCCACACTCACAGGACATGACAGATAAATGCTCTACTGGCATTTCTCTTTCTACTAATAAATTTGAGCATCATTGAAAATGTTTATTGACTATTTTTGTTATTATGTTGCTCTTCTATAACTGTTCTTTCATCTCCTCTACTCATTTTTCTATAGGGCTTTAGTCTTTTTCTTTTCACTATTAAAGAATTTTTTATACTCTAGATATAAAAATGTTCTCATCATTTGCATTACAAATGCTTTTCCAAATATTTGAAGACCACTGCTCTTCTTTCTACATTTTAAAAAGCTTTCCTCAGACACTTCCTTCTCCATAGACAATCTAATTTACTTAATTTATTCAAATAGTTCATTTGATTCAGAATGCTTAAAAAGTCTGTTTGGAATCTAGCTGGAATTGCATGGGATTTTTTTTAGAAAAAAATTTCAAATTTTATTTATTTTTTTAAAATAAACTCTACCCCCAACATGGGGCTCAAATTCACGACCCCTAGATCAAGAGCTGCATGGTCTACTGACTGAGCCAGCCAGGTGCCCCTTGCGTGAAATTTTTAAAATTAATTTTGGAAGAATTAACATTTCTATGATACTGAGTACTGAGACTCCTGAGCTAGAGCATAGTTGGTCTTCTCATTGGTTCAGATGTCATTTCATGTTCTTCAGTCTGATTTTATAGTTTTCTTCATTTACACCTCTCCATTTTGAAATGTCATCCAACTTTTGCAACTTGAAGAATGCATATTTTCAAAGGTGAAAACACCATAACTATATAAAAGTTGCTTTTGATGCTATTATTTTTAACTTGGCAAATATTATCATTTTCCATTGAAAGAGTTTTAATTCTATGGTCAGGTATGCTTAACTATCCTTTTATAGCTTCTGGATCTCCAGTCTTTTTAAGACCAACTCTGTCATCCCTATGTGATATATATATTCTCCTGGGTTTTCTTTTAAGATTTTAAAATTATTTTATTGTTTATATTCACATCTCTAATCCATCTGGAATTCATTTTGTATATAGGTTAAGATTCAGGTCCAATTTTATTTTTACTCTGATGGATGGAGAGTTATGTCAGCACCATTTATGAACTAATATAGCTTTTTTCCAACTGACTTGAACCAACACTTTCATCATATATTAAATTTTTATACATATTGGAGTCTATTTCAGGATTTCCTATTCTATCCTACTGATTATTTTATCTCTTACTGTACTAATCCCATATTGATTTAATTTCAGTGGTTTTATATTATGTTATGGTAACCCATAACTTAAGTTCTCCTTCACTGGTCTTCATTTTCATACTTCTAAAGGCTCTTCTCAGGCATTTCCTTTCCATTCAAACTCTAAGATCATTTATCCATATACTTGAAAAAATCTATTGGCTTGTAATTGAAATTGCACAACATTTGTATATTAATTTGGGGAGAATCGCAATTTTTATCTACCGAGATATTCAGCCAAAAACATGACGTGTCTTTATATTTTTCAGATCTTGTTTAATGTGCTTCCATAAGATTTCAAAGTTTTCTTCATTTGCATCACCTCTTTCTTTTGTGATTAAATTAGAGCATATGAAAATCGATATTTTATTACCTAGTTAAAAACTGTGTGTATGTGTGTATAGATAGACAGCAATCTAATTATTGACCTAATCTAATTTAATTGATACCACGATTGCATAATTCTAGAAATCCTAGGAAATGTGACAACATGGCTAACCTCATTGAAAAAGGTTAGACTTTGAGCCGGGAGAAAAGAAAACTTTGTTTTGCACTTAAAATTGGACTCATTTTATCTCTTACTGAAATTTGTAATTATTGCAATCCTATCTGAAATGGTTTCAGAAACATTATCTTTGCATATTCTTGCAATTAAAGATATTATCTAAAATGAAATAGTTTCCTGTGCCACTAGAAACAAAATCTCTGAATAAAATCATTGTGGAATCATCACTAGAGTCTTACTTGACTAGAAAGTTTAGAAGCTTCCACAGCATGTTCGAAATCTGGTCTTCCAATTACAGCAGGCTCTTTATTCATTACTCCTTGCCCTTTCTTGTATTCTGCCTAAAATGAATAAATAAGAGAATGTTAAATATTTCTACTTTCCAGTGAAGAATTACATTAATATTAGCTGAAATAAAATATAATAGACCCTTCGTCCTTAAAAAAAAACATTCCTTACAATACACCGAACACAAAATTGCTGACTGGTAGAACAGAAATTGACTTAGTGTGGTTAATCAAATTCAACTTTTTTTGTAGTAAATTAATTATTAAATTTGAGTCTATGTATCCTGTCATCATCATTGTGCTTATGTATAAACAGTGAAAAAAATTAGGAAAAATTACTGGAATTGAGATCCTGCCTTCTGCAGACAGATAGCTTGTATGGCTCCTTTCATCTTAGGAACTGATTTAACTCCGTTTGGTTAGCATCAAGTTAAATCTTGTAAATAGTTATTAATTTTTAAGTGAGTATAGTCTCTGTTATTCAAACATTTGGTCTGTGTGAAGCCATCATTTTAACCAGGGTGCAAGTTATGTTTAAGTAAAATGGTATTAACCAGCAAGGATATCTTGGAGAAGATATGATAAGAAAAGAGCCAAAATGTGTAGAAAATGTACAAGGGCAAATGGTGGCAAAAAAAGAATCTGCACAATTAACAGTAGCACAATAGAAACAAGGCCAAGTGAAGTTCTTTGGGACAGGGAAAGGTGAGAGACCAGATGACTAACAAAGTTGACTTTCAGGCTGAGGCATCCGAACGTCACCTTAACACCCGAAGAGTACTTACTTCTCTTTTTTTTTTTTTTTACTCTATATATTTATTTTTTTTTATTCTTATGTTAAGTACTTACTTCTCTTAAAGTATGACAGCATTAGCCATAGTCAAGGTGAATTTGGGCAGTTTCTGCATATACCTGAATAACTTACACAGTCAAATGGATATTTCAGATAAAAAACTTGAGATGTCATTAATTCAGATTGATTAATTTCACTAATTAAATTAACCATTCAACCACCAAAGTCATGTGTTGTCTCCTGAAAAAATAAGAAATCCTTTCTGCTCAAGATAACAAAGAGAGATTACATTGCTTATGATCTTGGAGATCTGTGTTGCCATCTTGATGTCTGGTCTGTTGAGATCCGCACTGTACATATGGGTGTCCTGCACATCTTTTCTATAAGAAATCTGATCAAAGAGACAGTTTTGATTGAGAGAAAGAAAAAGAAGAAATTAGTAATTTTATAGAGCTACCAATCTTAATGTCTATACATCATTTATCCTTGCCATAATCATCTTAGAGAACCCACCGACCATAAATTGTTTTTTAAATTTTTTTATGTACATTTATTTGAATAGATACATTATTTTCTCTCCCATACCTAAGTCTCACTAGCATTACTGCATTTGAACTGGATTCATACAACCTAAAAAATGTGAGCCCAAGACTTGGGCACAAAATCAATCTTACAGAATCTTACAAAATTCTTATGGAATTATCACCTTAAAAGCATGTCATTACGTGTAAGAGTGTATGTACATTTTCACATACAGAATATCCTCAGCAAGGGCTTTAACTTGCCCATCACACAGTCTCAACCTCCAGTGGATGCAGGGTAAGCCCAGTACATGAGGGTAGAAAAATCACTTCCTGGGGTGAGGGTGTGTGAAGCTGCTCCTCTCCAGCTCTCTCTTCTTTTTCTGACTGGACTCTTATTAAAATGCCCATGTCTGGCAAGTCTAGTCATGTGTACTGATATTTTTATTACCTAGCAAATATCAGTGCAGTGACTTGAGCCTCCAAAAATAAAAGCAATGACATTAAGGAACATCCATTCTCTGAATGCACACGAGATACAATCAAACCAAAGTGTGGAAAATAGACATTTAAAGAGAAAAATGCATGTAAATTTTACCAAATGTACTTTAGACAATGGTGGTTATTTAGATTAACTCCACTGACAAACAGGAGGCAAGACCAGATGAGAACTGGTATAACGTCCCACAGTCAACACCTCACCAGTCTGTCCATTTCTCTGCTTCCTGAGGTCAGTCATGAGCTGAAGGAGTATTTATCTATTTTCCAGATGTAATTCTATTTGGCAATATCACCAGGGGCTGGTCAACTTGTCCATTACATTAGTTCTATTAAAGATCTAACGCAAAGGGGGCAGCAATGGTCATTTTTAAGACCTTCACTTTTTCAAGGCATAGAAAGGTAAAACATAGAAATGTAAAACAACATCAATACGAAATGCACAATTAATTATATTTGTACAAAACAAATATTTCTATTGTTGCCTGGAGACTTTCCACAATAGCATCATCTAAGGTACTTACTCAAAAATTAGATTCCTGAGGTCCATCCCCAACCCTACATAATAGAATTTCTGAAGAATCTGCATTTTTATGAATTCTCCTGTTAATCAATATGAGCCAGTGTTCTAGATAATATCAATGTATCTTGTTATTTTCCTTTCAATTTCCTGCAGAGTTAAGAAAACATTTGTACTTTCTCATTTCTTTCAAAAATAATATCAGGTATAGGAAGTGAAAGGCTCCCTACGCATTATATTATTTTATTTCAGTGAAATATTTATATACATTTCTATTTACTCTTTTAAGGGCTTGCATTCGCCTCACCACCAAGACTGTTTTTATTTGTTTTTATTTTTTTTTAAAGATTTTATTTATTTGACAGAGAAAGAGACAGCGAGAGCAGGAACACAAGCAGGGGGAGTGGGAGAGGGAGAAGCAGGCTCCCCGCTGAGCAGGGAGCCCGATGCGGGACTTGACTCTGGGACCCTGGGATCATGATCTGAGCTGAAGGCAGACGCTTAACGACTGAGCCACCCAGGCGCCCCCAAGACTGTTTTTAAAACAATGTTTATAATCATGAATCTAACGAGTGAACACAACTTCAATAGAATTAACATAATTTCAGCAAGAACATCTGTTTTCTTCAGTATTTGTTTTCATAGGCTTTACTGTCACAAGTAATTCAGGTAAGTTTTGTGCACACAGGTAGCAAAAGAAACATGAAAATAGGCTGAAAACTGAGTTATATTCTTGGGTGAATTTTTTAACTCTTTAGGGGTTTAAAATTAAGCCAATTTCATTGGCTTCAAATAACAACACGCTCATGTGCCAGTGATGGCCAATCAACCTCCGCCTGCACTCGGTTAAACACAAGCTGTGTAAACAAAAACCGACTCTCAGGTGAAAACAAACCAAAATTACTACCCACCTACAAGACTAACTGTTTCTAAGTTACTGCATTCATACGGAAACCACAGGGGGGTAATGTCTTTTGTTTAGAAAAGAATGAGGATAAAAAATGGAAACCCTTACTTTTTGAAAAGAGCTGCAACCTTCCAGAAATCTAAGCTTTGTATGGGTTACGTAATTATATGCTGCTCAGCCTAATGACTGCGTGAAGAGACGTGAGGGGCACAAAGGCGGAAGGAGCAGGACTCTGAATAGGGCCCCATCATCCATGTAAATTGCAAATTAGAGGCCGGCATATGTGACTCAAAACAAATATTAAGATTGACAAGAGCTGCAAATTCAAACAAGCGGACACCACAGAGCCACACAGGAGAACAGCACGGGAGCCCGGTCACTAGTCAGATCTTCCAGGATACCACTGCATGGGGACATCCCACAGGAACGGGGCTTTACATGGAGAGGCGCAGGGCGGTAGGCTCCTGGTCTTCACGGTCTGCAAGGATGTCTGAACTTGTTGGTGCAGCAACATGGCTGCCTAAGAGCGCTGCTCATCTTCCTCCTCCTAACCCGGGTCTGAGGGGAGCTCACCTGACATTTCTCAAATGTCTGCACTATGTCTTTGCTCCGTTCTGCAGTCCGTCAGAACCCAGGAAGAATAAAAACAGTATATGGTAGAAGAGAGGTGTGGCAGGGTTTGGGGTTTTTTTTTTTCTTTTTTCTATTTCCTGAATAAATTCAACCCCTAAGTGCTAACTGTATTGGAACAAGGGACTGGCCTCCATTCTTCAGGTTGTCTTCTCATGACAAGTGGTGTTCTGTATAATACTGTTGAATAAGAAGAGAAGAAGAGACTCCTGAAAATCATCACCCCAGGATGGGTGCAAGCTTGAGGGTCAATGATTGATTTTACCTCATTTATTTATTTATTTATTTATTTATTTTTAAAGATTTTATTTATTTATTTGACAGAGAGAGACAGTGAGAGAGGGAACACAAGCAGGGGGAATGGGGGAGGGAGAAGCAGGCTTCCCGCTGAGCAATGAGCCCAATGTGGGGTTTGATCCCAGGACCCTGGGACCATGACCTGAGCCAAAAGCAGATGCTTAATGACTGAGCCATCCAGGCGCCCCTTACCTCATTTTATTTAATGTTTTGCTCCCTACTGCATCCTCAGAGCATGGAAGGAAAAAGCAGGAAGAGGGAGATGGGAGGAGGGAGGACAAAGGAGAAGAGAGAAAAGAAGGAGAAGGGGGAAGAGGAGAAATAATAACACCAATAATAATCTCCACTTTCAACCATTTACTATGGACCAGGTAGCATATTAAGGACTTAACATTCACTGCCTCACTCACGCATTTCTTGAATGTATGACCATAAGGATTTACATACCTTACACCAAGTTCTGTCTACTGCTCTTCTTTTTCAAAATTTTTCTTAATTTTTACCTATTTATTCTCATAAATGAACATTAGAATAATTCTAGTCAGTTCCACAAAGGAAACAAATGAAACTTCAGTGGGCATTGCATGCAACTCAACCTACAAAACGACTTAGGGAAAAATTTCTCAAAACTATTTCAGTCTGTTCCCAAGAGAAGAAGGTGAATTTCCCCACTTCTTTAAACCTTGTATTATGCCTTTCAATGAAGTTTCATTTCCTTCTCGAGGTCCCACATGAGGCAAAAAAGTAATTATCATATGATGATCATTTCCTTATACCTTGATCTTGTATCCAAGATAAACGGCCTTTTCTTTTTAATAACATATAACAATATACAATCTTATCTGTAAAGACTGATTGTGGTTTCTTCCTCAGGAACATCTGAAATTATTACTATACATGCTTGATCTCTTCCTCCTTTTTTTTTTCCACTAAATTTCTTTCCTGGCCCTTTTCCACATATCTGGGTCATTTTCCTAAGTTATGCCTCTGTAATGGACATGTGTAATTTCTGTATCGGCCTGGGGTTTTTTATTTGGAAACTGCCCCTCCCTCTCACTCCATGTGATTTGGTGGGGCTGTCCAAAGCAGCCTACCTTCTTGGCGACAGGGGTGGTGACATGACAGCTTGTCCAATCATACATCTCATCTCTTTAGAAGCCACAATCAATAAGAGGGCAGACACATAACCCAGGGAGGGCCAGAGTCACTGATGGATCTGAGGCTGGAGGGAGAAAGAGCTTCTGTCCTTCCCTCTGGAATCAGTGGCTCTAGGGATGATTTAATTCTGGAAACACCAGCTGTCATCTTGAGACCATCTAGACAGTCTGTCTGAAAGCAAAGCCATGAGATGGGGAGGGACAAAGAGTCCCAGTGACACTGTGAGCCTCTGGATCCAGGTACACCTAAAGGTAGCTTGAATTTCCAATTATGCAAGCCAATAAATTCTCATGTTTTACTTAGCTAACTTGAGATGGAGTTCTGTTGCTAAACCTAGAAACGCCCGGTTAACAGTCTCCATTTCAGGTTTTTCTGCAGTGTCAAATCTGTTCTTCATTGCCTCCAATAAAGATATTAATTCTATCAAATTTGTTTTGGAATTTCTTCCTTGTCTCGCCATGTTCACTTTGTCCCTCAGTTTGTACTTTCATCATTTTATTGTCTTTTAATCTCAGCTTGTTCCCTATAATCCTGATCTTTTTTTTATTATGTTCAGTTAGCCAACATATAGTAGTACATCATTAGTTTTTGATGTAGTGTTCAGTGATTCACTAGTTGTGTATAACGTCTTTTGCATTTTTTTTTTTTTACATCTGTGCAGAGGGTCCAACATGCCAGGCATTGTTCTGAGCACTTTACGTGCATGAATGCATTAAATCATCATCCCACCCTTGTTGTGCTGCATTGTCTCTGTCCAACCAGGCTTCCTCAACATTCCCTCCCAGGACTGGAACAAGTTATCCACAGTCCCCTTCCTTGTATTGTTCTGAGTTGGGCTTGGCCAATGAGAGACTCAGATTTATGTCCTTGGAGATGCCAAGATTGAGAGATGAGGGGACAGCCAGGATGGCAGCCACAGACAGACCCCTGTGGGGGAATTAAGGCTGGTGAGCAGACTTAAAGAAATCAAACCCAACTGGCCCAGAACCATCATTCCCTTTGCCACTCTGATGAAGGTTAACGTGATTCTTGGTGAGAAGAGACTAGAAAGGATTTACATCTTGAGTTTGGCAGAATAGAAGGGCATAGTGGGGCCTGTATTTAGTTATAATCTGGAAGCACTCGTGCAGTCATTCCCAAGAAATACATTTATCCTAAACTCTCACATTAGAAATGCCCCCAGGTATCTCACATAGGCACATGGACTGGAAATTCTATCTCAGGCTTATTTCTGTCTGGGCATCCTGTATGTAAAAAATGAGTAAAGGATTAGATTGTAAGTATTATTTTTATGAGAGAATGTAAACCTTTTATATACAGGTAAACCTAGGATCTGACATTCATCAGAAGGCAGAAAAGTTTTCCATCTCCTAAAAGATGGAGTAAAATACTGAGCTGCATCTTTCTCATTATTATTGTTGTCATTGTTTATAAAAAGCATTTTAGAGTTGATAGAAGTTTTCTTATTCATGAGTTAATTTTACCACCACCACAATCTTGTAAAGAAGGCAGAATGGGTATTACTAACTATTCTTGTCTCAGAGATGAGCAAAACACTAATGTATCTATTTTAATACTAACTCCCAAAGTGCTGTTATTATAAGTCACATCGGGGAACCACACAAAACCATGACAGCCTCTCTAGTATCATTTTACTGATTTATCTCTAAGCTTTTTCACTTTCTGATGGAATAGAAATTTTATCTCCTGATAAGTTTTCTTACCATTATATATATATATATATATATATATATATATATATATATATATATATAATTCTTAAACATGAAGTCTCTTGTTTCCCCTGCTGAATACTTCCTTCCAATGCACATTGAATTGATTACCAATATGGTGTTTTGGAAGAGTTTACCACTCCAATTTCATCACAAGTCTATACAGACCACATTACTTACAAAACTTAAGATGGCAGTTCAAAATTTGTTTGACTTCCTTCAGAACTATTGGGTTTTGCATCTCTGATAAGATTGATGAGAACTAATAATATTACTGGGGTTTTCATTTTGAGCCCTTCTTTAGGGGAAAGTAACCGGATAGATTATCTCCAGTTTCTCTAATTACATTAGAAGAATTTGGCAGGGATACATCCCTTAAGATAAAAAAGGATTTAGATTGGCTGTTTTTAATCATTTCTTGGTTATAGTATCAACAAGATAGGTAGTTATATGGGTTCAGGATCATTTTGAACATGACCTTCTGACCTAAATGCTTCTTAATATAAATTTCACAAAATTTGGCCCTTTTCTCAATCTAAGCTCTGTTAATTATTTCAAATTGACTATGAAATCATCCTAACCTCTCAAATCACCCTTTAAAATTGGAGGGGGACCAAAGAGGACTCATATTTTATGGAGCTGCTCCTCTGCAAAGCCCTTTATATATACACCATCTCATTTAATACTCGCAAGAGCCCAGTGAGTTGGATACCACTGCCCCACTTTACAGATGGAAACACTGAGATTTGCAGATATTAAGTAACTTGTCCAAGATCTTCCAGGCAACATGTGGTCTGACTCTAAATTCCTTTTCTACTATATGCCTCAGTGGAGGATATTCGGATAAATGATCTCCCCCCCCATTCTGTGCTCACTGAATTGGGGGGGGACAGAAGAGACTGGTGCCCCTAGAACGACTAGTCTTCCTCTTGAAACTATGAGTTACACAGAGGTGAGAATTCAGTCCGCCCTCACAGAAGTCCTCTCCCCATCCTCTTCTGCCTATTCACACTTCTAAAGGCATGAGGGAGAGAACAGTTCTGAAAGGAAAAACATGCCCTTTGGCCCACTGATAAACGTTCTAATAAAAGTCTGTGCTGAAAGGAGGCAGAACTTAAAAGGTTTAAATGCAGTTGGCCCAGTTTCTTGGTTCTCTAACAGATACTGGAAAGCTGACTTGCTCTTGGTAGAAACATAAAATAAAAAGGTCAGCAAAGATGCCTTATTTCTAGGCAAATCAGATGTACGTGTGACAACACATTTTCTTTTAAGCTAAATCAGGTCATTTAGAGGCATCATGTAAAGGGACATCCCACATTACGGAAGGGTAATTCTATTAGTAGATTCTCTGCAAATGGGTTTCGACGGACTGAAGTTTTGTGGGAGACAGAGTTTTGTCTTTTGTGGAGACGCACCAGCCTCACCTATGAACCAGGAGAGGTACTTGCTTTCCTGTGGCTTTCGAGACCTAGGTTTAAATTTCATATTGTAGGGACAACAAATGTATTCTTCTAAGTGCCCTGACTCTAGGGGAATATCAACTACTTCACAGGTAGAATACAAATATCATTCTCACTTTAAATCTGAGTAAATAGTCTTAAACACTTTCTAAATCCTATTATATGTACAAACTTTGCATGTGAAGGTCGAGCCGAGTAGGCAGAGGAGTATAAGTAAATACATCCTTCTCCCATAAGTACACAGTATTGAATGGAAGAGAAAAGGCCTTTATACTCTATTCCCTCAATCCCTCAATCAAAGACCTTTTAAAAGAAAAGGCAGAGTTAAAATAATAACCCCAGTTCTATGATAAGGAACTTCCGTATTTGAATTTCATTGAATTATAGAGTTGGAAGCAGCCTCCCGAGGGTCCGTGTAAGGCGCTCCAGCCCCTCCCGGGCCACCGCTGACCCCTTCGGTCCTGCAGCTCCTTGAATATGTTGATCTAAATCCTGATGATAACCTATTTTGTCCCACATTTTAAAATTTTCATTTAAAATCTCAACCAATAACCAATGCCTTTTAAGAGGCATCCAGAAAGGGTGGACCTGGGAGTTTGACTCTTTCATCTCATTTTCTTCATCTACAGAATGGGGACTCAGTACAGGGATTTTGTGAGAGTTGGAAACAATGGGAGTCTTGGCAGAGTTCCTGTTGCGCAGCCGTGCTAGCTAAGTGGTAGTAATTATGGTTATGACCGTCATTCTGTAAGCAAACCGTTCTTACGAAGCATCCCCTTCAAATGGCCTTGCTGGTAATTACAGACGTGTAGCTTTCTCATCTCTCATCCAAGTTAAACCATCTTGGGAAACTGTCTTGGTACTGGCATATATTTACACATTGGAGTGAAAATGTAAAACCTCACTCCATTTGTACTTAAGCAATGATCTATTGCAATTTAATACCAGATAACTGTTGCCATCCTGGAAAGAGGTACTGCACAGCTGAGGCTCTGGGGACACAAGGTCAGCCAAGCCCCACTCAGTAAGGGAGCTAGGTGGTGGGACAGAGCCCATGGGAGATGACACAGTTGTTTCAGGTAGCTTCCAAAGAAAGGGAGTTTCTTGACCCAACTAAGGCAGACACATTTATCTGAACTGATTGTAGCCCATTAAGAACCTAACGAACAATTCCTACATGCCTCCTAGACAACAAAGAACTCCTAATGGGGAGACAAATGAGCTTCCACTGAAATTTCAGGAAGAAATTATTCTTCTAGGCCACCAGGATAGCGGTGGTCATTGAGCAAACACGCGGAAGTTTTGATGCTCCTGCTAACTTACAACTTTATAATCTTCTAACTTACAACTTTTAAAAGAATTTATCTTCTATGGGTTTGTTTCCTCTCCCTTGGTTTCTGCTAAGTCAGCCATTACACATCAACTGCTTTCATGTTCTCCATGGGTCTTAAGTTTGACCATTTGCTCTCCATATGTGCTCCAAAAGAGACAGTAGTGGGGTACTATCTCACTAGCCTTTGTGAGGGACTATTCCCCAGGCCAGTGGTTTCTGGTGTCCTTTCTCCCAGTTCTTCTACAATTCTAGACTGGAAACTACGAGAGCTTTACCATCAAGTCAAGGGCACTCTAGGAAATGCCAATAACCCAATAGGTCCAAGGCAGAACTTCCAATATCTGCAAGGACCTGACATTTTAAAGACATTCTACAAGGTTTTAATGACTTTTGATAGAGTAATTCAGATGAATTTATGACTGAATACTGGGAGATTTAAAAACAAGAAATTTTAAAGTTCTTTTTGAAGAGGAGAGTTGTAATATGTAAATTGCAACAACATATCCATTAGCCCTGATGTGGGTAACCACGATTTACCAGAAAAACATGAGGGAGGGGGTCCTTACATTACTCTGGTGTTTATTGACCTCCATGGCATGTTTGATGTCAGGTGGCTCCTTCATATGGGCATAATCTGAGAATCCTTTGGCAGCATCATGTTTCTGCTTATAGGCAACCTTTAAAAACACAAATCATTGTTAGTTTTTTCAGGGGCATACTACATTCTTACCTATTAAATTTCGGTGTTTTGCTAGGAGTTTGTGTATTTCAATCCCACCACTGATGGTCATATTTGCCTAAGCCTCTACAACAAGAGAATATACTCAGTGCTTTAAGGTTAGTGCTTCAGGTTAGAATCCTAAATCTGACTCTTTCCTGTTTGTTTCAAAAGCATTTGACCATATGCATGCTAAAATCCCCACTCATATTCAGCTAGCTTAAATCTCAGCTATGGTTTTGGGAAACCTTCCAAATCTATGAGCTCTTAGGGTCATAAATGTCCAAGGTTTAAATCTTGGGAAAGCAACTGACAAAGTGGGGAAAATGACCAGATATTTAAAGGCAAATTTTTCATTTTTAATTAATTGTTATGACTTTTCTGCAGGCACAGCTATAATACAACATAAACCTCATTAAATGCCCCAACCTTTGGGAGAAAATAAAACATGCACGCAGATTTCTGAGATATGTCAAGGTCTGTCCTGAGGGAAATGAGCCATCATGCCAATGTCATCCATTGCTACCATTTCAACTTGTTCCCTCCTGGGATGGACAGAAGGCATGAGAATGATTACTTCAAAAGTATAAGTAACCAAATTCAATGATAGAGTTAGGGGAAAAAAAATTCAGAAGACAGCAAAGAAATTGTCCCTTTATTCGCAGTCTATTCCATTATCCTATGTATTTCCTTTGCACTTTTTAATTACTTTTGTTTTATTTTTATAGAATTACTTATTTTCTGTCTTCCCTCATGAGAATGTAACTATCTAGCTCGGTGAATGCTCAGAGCCCAAACTAGTGCCTGGCACAAAGTAAGGATCAATAAATATTTGCTCAATGAATGAATGAATAAAAATAAAATAGGAATGAATGAATAAATTATTTTAAAATTAATTTTAAATAGATATTAAGTTTTATAATAAAAATATTAAATGGAGTTAGGATAACTCGACACAGGAGAATAGAGGCAATTTAAAGAGAAAAGCTGGAAGAGTAGTCACAAGAACAAAATAAGATCTAATTTTTAATGGAAAGGAATAACAGCTCAACTTAAGGAAAAACTTTTTACCAATACTAGCTCCTTGAGAACTATGCCTGTATCTTCTTACACATCTTTTAATATCCTGTGCCTCTCATATTGAATGACAGAGAGTAGAAATGTAATAAATGTTTAGCAAAAGACTGAATAAATGAGTTTATTAAATATTCTCATGAACTTAAACCCCTCATGGGTTTTAATAAACTGTATTAACCATTCATTTAACTTAGATAATATACTTGTCTAGAGGATTAAGGTGATATTTACAAAACTAATTTTTAAAAATAAAATCATCGCCTCTTACCATAAAGAAAGAAAGCCATTTCTTACAACTATCAATATTTAAATCTCCTCTCTGGCTCCCCCACCAAGTTCTTCTTGAAAACGTTTACTGAAATGGAACTCACGCTGGGGTGTCACAGTCTCTAAATTGTGGAAGCTTTGACACAAAGCCCCTCCCTTAATGAAGCCCCAATACGTCTTCCTCTAGCGGCTAGTTCACCGGATGGAACTTTAGGTGTGGGCACACAGCTGTCAATGCCTTCCATTTCTCCAGACCATCTGCACGGAGTAAGGTCGTGAGCCCCTGTACCCCTAAATGCCCTCCTCTGCACAATTTCCAATTAATCCACCCTTTCTTAAGATGCCCAGAATGTTCCAGATATGGTCTGACCTCTCTTAATTAGAACTGTCCAATTTAGTCTGGGTTATGATTTCTTGTGTGCTCGCTATTATTCATGTATCCATAGATCACAGTGTTTTCCTTCTAATAACTACGTTGAGATTCCTGTCACCTAGTGTCCTTAAGCCTTGTTCAGTTCTGCCCCACTCTGTCTTCACATCCAATCCGGTATATCTAGTTGATTATCAGGACTCACACGCAGCACCCCGTTATTTCAGGGATCACTCATCTTGTTAGAGTCTGTCCATTGATTTAATCCATCAGGATATCTAATTCTCATGAACATATCTTTACATTTTCACCAATTAGTTATGTTAAATAGGAAACCCATTAAGGACCTCCATTTAAGTTGGCAAAAAACACTATGTCAGTTCCATTACATTCTATATTATAACTTTGGGGGAAAGGAGGAGGAGTTTAGTGGGTGACCAGGTCTATTATGCCAAGAAGAAACCTTTATCAGATTTGTTTCTTCTTCTTAAATAAAAGGAGATAGCACGTAACTAGCTCCTTTTTGCTCTGTGCCTAGTTTAGTTTGTATGACTTGTGACTTTATAAACATAATCAATGCAGCTGATCATTTCGTGGGTTATCATAGAAATGGTGAGTCATCAAGCACAATTTTAAAAAGCACTCTTTCTTTAAAAGGCTCTGTAATTTTCTACTTGCAGCATTAAAAGTCATTTCATTTATAGCTACAACGAAGCACCACTTTAGAATTAAGATTACATCAAATTGGAGGCAGCTGAACTTTAATTTATCATATTGATTTTCATCCTTAAAATAGCTAATGGAAAATCATGACAAGCTAATAAATTTTCTGATAAATTTGATTTCTTAGGATTTGTCATTATTGTTTAGCATTTCCCTAGATTAACACTGTTTTCTTCATACTTGAGAATCAAGGTCGCCTTGCTACTGGATACCTAACTAGTGGAAGACATTTGCAATAGTCTTATATACTTATATATAAATATGTTTATAAAAGTAGTACATACATTTATCTTGCATATTTGATAGCATAGTATAGCATAGTATATTTTTATATCATATATATATGTGTGTGTATATATATATATATAAGATCTCTATACATTTCTAACTTCAGGATATTTTACAACTACTATATAGGTAAATGCACTGCTAGGCAGGACCCCGGAGCCTCTATGGATAAAAACATAGGCTGTCAAACATCTGAGTCCAGATGCCTGAGTAGCCTGTATCAGTTCTGTGATAAGAGATTATTTAGCCTCTGCCTGAAACAGCCCTGGTGAGAAGGATCTCACCATTTCATGGCATGGTCCATTCGTTTCCAGAAATTCTCTTTGTGGTCTTTGTTTATAAAATTTTTAATGGGGGATATCTCGTAAAACGGCATCCTAAAATCTCCACATCTCTCTCTTTTTTTAGAATGACTTCCCCTCAGTCATTTTCTGTAAGGAGCATTAATTTAGCTCTCTTCACCTTATCATTCTAGTCTGGATGTAAGCAGCTGAGAATGTTTGCAAATTGATTTTAACGTAACATTTTGACCCAGTGTCCTCAGTTTAGGAGACTTTTCATTAGAATCCAGAACACCTTGAAATTCCAGAATGTGTCAACCACTCTAATTTAGGTTACCACAAATCTGATACAATTTGGACACAGTAAAATGTTAGTTCTGTAATTTTATCAGACACTGTCAGATAGTTTTACTTTCTTGATAGTCTTATTACCAGGTAAGCTCTGAGAACTGCAATTTTAGCAACAATAAAATTGATTTATACAAACCTCAAGAAGTATTATTACATTACACTGAAATGTTATTACATTACATTATTCCATTGAAATAGATACTTTATTCAGAACCCAGGTGTTTCCTTACTAACAAGTTCAGTGACTAATTACAACAGTGGGCGGTGTTGGGAGCACATACCCGTCTTTCCCAGGGGCATACTCTACTATAGCATAACACATGCTAACAAGGCAAGAGACAACTTATTCTGGGGGGAAAACAAGATTCCACAATATACAGTATGGATTATCTTCCATGTTAAGTCCTACACTGCATTGTATGGCGACTAACGTAACATAATAAAATTAAATTAAATTTTTTTAAAAAGTCCTATATTGCACATGTTCGTTTCTGCCATAAAAAGTGAGAAAAGTTGGGCACTTTCACACAATGAGGATGTAAATATCTGCCAAGGTTACCTTCCCAAGTATAAAAATAAGAAGAGACTATTCTTTCTTGCATAATTGTTATTTGTCACATATCAACTGTTGGATTGTACTTATTTGCGTTATAAAGTAGTCCGTTTATTATCAGCTAGTGGCTAGATGACCAGATGTTGTGAGGGGAAAAAAAGGGACATATTAGTCATGGTCAGCCATGCAAAACTCTGATATCATATATTTTTAGCCTCATGTTGCACAGCTGAGATTAGTTTACTGCCAAGCTGAGTACACAGAGGACATTTAAATTTGTAATAATAAAGTACTTAAAGATGTTCTCAAAGGATAACAATGCTCAGTCTTTTTCAAGAGTACTTTATTTTAAGACTATTTTAAAATTACCTAGGCATCCTCTACTTAAAACTAAAAAGATTTTGATGGAAGAAGTCAAGTTGTTTAATAAGCAAAAGAGTGGTGGAAATGGTAAGAAAGAGGTGATGCAGTGTGTGGTTAAGAACCCAGACTCTGAAGCCAGACTATCTATGTCCATGTGTTGGCTCTGCCATTTATTGGCTGTGTGATCTCAGGCAAGTTATTTAACTCCTCTGTGCTTCAGTTTCCACATCTCTGAAATGGGGCTATCTCTGGGAGTACTTATGCGGATTAAATGATATAAATATATGTGAAATGTATAGATCAGCACCTGACACATAGTAAGCATTTGTATGTGTCCATTATTATTTTTAACCTAAAATGTAGCATTAAGAATATTAAACTACATAAAAGGAAACATTTCCTTATAAAAGGAATCAACAAATTCAACAAAATCCATTTTACCAGTATTTACTGACTATCCCCCTGCGTGCCAAGGACTGTTCTAAGCTCGGGGGTAGAGCAGAGAACAAGACACAGGAAGTCCCTGCTCTCGTATCACTTAGGAAGCCATTTCATAAAGTTAAAAAAAAAAAAAAAAACTGTGCTATGGAGAAAACAAAACAATAAGATGACTGAGAAAGAAGTGAAATATTCTATTTTGAAATTCTGTTTTAAGAAATACAACAAATTAAATGTACTATGTATTCCTTATGTCGAACGTACCAAAGGGGAAAATTACTCTTCTGGACTCAAAATGAGCTTACAGGATGACAATTCTTGAGTTCGTCTGCAACTTGCAATCACTAAAATGGCCACTTCCACCTGAGATACTCCACAGGAAATCCATAATCCACAGAAAAGGAAATTCAGGAACCTCTCGCCTAACTGAGGAAGCACAGACTTGTGGATCCTGAATTTAACCATTAACTCGTTACGGGACTTTGAATAAACCACTGGAATGTTCTCCACTTAGAGATCACATGCTAAATCAGAGACAGGTTTAATATTTGCTGTCAGATTTTATTTTTTTAAAGATTTTATTTATTTGTCAGAGAGAGAGACAGTGAGAGAGGGAACACAAGCAGGGGGAGTGGGAGAGGGAGAAGCAGGCTTCCCGCTGAGGAGGGAGCCCAATACAGGGCTTGATCCCAGGACCCTGGGATCATGACCTGAGCCGAAGGCAGATGCTTAATGACTGAGCCACCCAGGCGCCCCTCCTGTCAGCTTTTAATCTAAGTAAGTTGTCCTAACAAGATTAAAATTTGTTCTATTAATAACTGTGAATGGGCTTAGGAAAACAGCATCACTTGACTAACAAATTTGCCTGTCCTTTTCATTTTCTGTGACCCAACAGTGACTATTGACAACCCATGAGTCAGCTGCTTCCAATTTTCATCCAATATGTAAAACCCAAGATAAACAACCTTTTTGCTATCTATGTTTGAATACATATTTTAAATATTAATATATTTTAAGATGCTGATTGTATGTGGTTAAATTTCGATATATATAGTTATATAACAATTTAGGAAAACCACACCTCACTCTGAAGCTGCGTAACTTCTCTTGCAAAAACACTATCGATTGTGGCTGGCATCTGCTTATAAAGAGAATTGGAGAGGTTCGCCTTAATGGTGCCTTTGTATTTTGCCTAGAGGGGGGAAAAAGGAAAAAAAATTAATAAGCACTACTTTTTTTTACTGTGAATATTGAAAGAGAATAAAAAGAAATTTTCTTCAGAAACAGAATTAATTTAAAAACCTGAAGACCATTTTAACCTTAGATACTAGACTGAAGAACATATTCTGCAGAGAGATAAATCCAATTTATTATGGAAAAAGCTTTAAAACGAGATGCTCAAGAAAATAATGACTACTTTTTTATTTTAACCTATGCATGTTGTATAGAGAGTTTCAGATGTTTGATCAGCAAAGAAAAACCTGAGAAAAATGAGACATTTGAGTTGTTCCAGAAAATACAAGTTGATAGAATGTAGTGTCTAGAACTTGAATGCAAAGGACAGTGCTCCTTTATTCAAATCTTTTTAACATACTTCTACCATGACTGAGGTGGTGGGGGCGGGGAGGTACCTTTTTGTTGTTTCTGTGTCTTCCCACCTCCAATCTGCATTGTCTCAGAGTGATCCCCAAAATTCATTACTAGTAAATAGAAATGCTCCTTCACCATTTCTCTTAGAGAGATTAGGTGCAAAGTAACACAACAGATTGCCCACTTCCTTTTTTTTTTTTTTTTTCTTTTTGTGCTCTGCAGTTAACTCCTTCAGGAAAAAGAATCAATTGGGAATGAGAAACATCAAGAGAGTCTTTGCACAGGAGAAATAAAAGCTAATGCAAACCTACAAAACCACGTTTTTCCACACACTGACGTTACCCCCACTCAAAACTAGATGTGAGCGTGGATTTATTGAGCGTAGGCCTTGTGTAATCCTTGTGTTCTCACAACTCGTTGGATGTGGGTACTCAATAAGAGAAAATTTGCCAGTTTTCCTCAAAGTGTTTTCACATCAGCAGAAAGAATCCTGAGAATATCATGGTGATCTTTTTCCAACATAACTTATGAAACACTAAATGTCAGTCATTTGCAATACTGTTGTACTCATCCTCTTTTCAAATTTATCTCTCCTGAGTGATCTAGTCACAGACTACAGAAATGCCTCCTCACAGAAATCGCTGTTAACATGGTGCTTTATAATGCAGCATAATCTGCAGTTGGAAATGCTCTCAGAGACTGTATGATTTTTCAGCTGGAAAATGAATGTAATGCGTTTCTCTGTGGTCTCATAATAAGTGTCTCTGTTGAACTGATCCTACTCAAAAACAGTTTAAATGGATTTAAAATTACTTACCAAAGGTATCACGTTTTATAGAATCAGCTGGTAAATTTTACTTATTTTCAAAATGATATTCAACAACTTATAACTAGTACACCGATTAGGAAATAAAATAATGGAATTTCTAAAACTATTTTTCCAGTACTTTCTACTTATCAAATAAAATATCTCTTTTCAAGAGTGATCCTACATAAATATGAAAGGGTTAGAGTTGAAATATAGACATATATAATAAAATATATCAACCATAAAGTTAATTGATATGGTGCATAGGATTACATAATTATGTAGATATTACCAACACTCAGTGGCGCTCTCAAAAATATTATTCTCTAATTTTAATGCACAAATTTTTATCCACATAAATAGAAAATGAAAATGCAAACTATTTTGCATGTTTTGAAGCCTTACCTCAGAAATAAAAGCACCGATATTTTTTACATGGTTTAGCATGGGAGTGTCAGTCACAAATGTACACTTGTCCTTAGACTTTTTATACTCTTCTTTATAATGAATCTAAAAGAGAGAATAATTTACAGAAGATGAGAAAGAAGAAAAACAATTTTAATGCCCCTCTTTTGAACAGAATTACTTGAGGAAGTCTGTTTTCTAAAGTAAATACTCAAATGAGGAATGATGCTCAAAACCAGCCAAATCAAATAAATGGATATCTAGCACAGAACCACAAAGGTGATGAGACACAGAAAAGAAAAGACTGTTCTTTAGATAAGTAAGAGTCCTGTTATCATCAAGGATCATGGGGGCGGAGGCACAGTGATATGTGTCCTGTCTGCCCAGCTTTCTCAGCATAATTATTCAACACTCTCATTTCATTCGACAAGTGTCCTAGTTTATTGTTACTTTCAAGCCACTGACTGAACAGTTAAGCCTACAATCAAACAAAAACATAGCTGCCTACCTCTAGGTTTAAGACAAGTAGTCATCAGGACAGATGGAACCAATTAAGAAGTAGAGGCAGAAATCAAACAATGGAGATTACTGTTAGCATCATTACCTATACATGCTGAATTAGAGGAAGGGGCTCAAACAGTAGCCATGATGAGCTTCCCTTATACTAATTAATTCTGCTCAAATCAAACTTACCCAATTTAGGGGCACCCATAGGCCTCCCTATCTGCCTCCCCTGAAGGGGGAGGAAGAGCAGAACCTGCCCTGAAAGCTTGCCACATGGTGGAGATCATTCCAGAACGCTATGGATAGGCAGATGCACTAGAGAAAGTCCAGAGAGGCTGAACTGAGCATGCTCATTTCTTCTCTCAAACTCAGTAGTAAAAGGAGTTACTCTTTTCCCCTTGAGGAGAGGCCAGAATTGTTACTCTGGGGGGAGACCCTGCATGAACACATGAGGCGAAGTCAGGAACTATATGGGCAAGGCCCTAAAATGTAATCCCACTCTCATGCTAATTGCCACTCAATCTGAAAACTGGTGAGGCAAAATTTATGACCAGTTGAGAGGATGAAGGTAATTTGCTAAAAGTTGTATCATCCTGTAATAAAGTCATGTTTATCTACCCAAAACTGTAAATACTTATGCTGAAAAAAATGTCCCAGTTCAGATGATAAATTACATGGTCTCCCTAATTATAACCTAAAAGTGAAGTTGAGTTGACCATATACCGGGTTCTTAAAGGACGTGACTAACACGATGTTGCGACACTAACATTACATCGAGATTTGCCACAGGTAAACCTGACTTGAGGGGCATAATTCGACCTGAGGTGTGACCAGATAGGAACATACTAAGCAAAATACCGTATCTCACTGCTGTGACTCTTAGGTATGAGACGCCTACCGCATTACACATTTGCTTTATTCATGAAATCAACACTGGAACATATTTATCTTATCTGAGCTCTAAATTACTTTTTTTTTCTTCTCAGAGATTAGCCCTAATTTTAGGGCTCTGCAAATCACCCTCCTCAGTCACTAGTAATTAAACAGTTAATGGCAGTATGATAAATAGTAGGCTATTTTGATCATAAGGAGAGAAAAAAAAAAGTATCCCCATTATATAATTAAGTGTGAGAGAAAATAACCTATCATTAGGTTTAAGTTTGGCTCATTATTTTTATCTTTTGCCACTATCTTCTCCCCCCTCACAGTCACATTCTTGACTGCAGTGGTGTATGCAATGGCCACAGGGTCCCCCGATAGGCTCTGACCTGAGCAGAATGTTCAGGACAAGAGCACAAGATAAGGGTGAAGTATTTAGTTCCTTCACTGTGCAGGCAAATAGTTCAGTCTTAAGTGGGGTCTCCAGTCCTTTCTTTGGTCTTAAAAGATAGGTACACACACACATACATACACACACACACACATATTATTTGCTTATTGTCACTCCTATTGTATTTCTAATGAATTTTACCTGAGTCATGATAAGCAAATGATCTTACATTTTTATATAAAGAATGCTACATAGTGTTAGCCTTCCTCTACCAAGATAATAGAAAAAGATAGATGGGTGGGAACTACACCGGTGAGGGACACAACATCCCAGGTGAAATAAAATCACTGAATAGACGGCCACTTCCTACAGAGCCATGGCCCCGTCTATTGAATAGACTGCCTATGCGACCCCATTCTTTCCCAATAACAGAACCCAGATGTATTTATGAGAGTAGCCAGACCCTTGCCCCAGTCCCAGAGGATGAGTTGCTCTAAATCAGACACGGTTTGCTCCTTCCCCTTAGCCAGCGACTGGCCTCCCCTGGTGCCCAGCTCTGGCCACAGGACATTTATAGAAGTCTTCCCAGCAGTGTTCCTGGTGTTTCTGGGGCAAAGGGGAAAGACTTGCTGGCTCAGCCCTTTGACACTTTTCTCTTCCACCTTTCCCAGTCATAGGGATGCAACAGCCATGAAGTCATCACAAGGCAATAAGTCACCATACTAATGATGACAAAGCAGAAGGAAAGGAACCTGAGAGCCTGAGAGTATCTACCATACCAAGACTGGACCCTTTACCTCCACACTTCATTATGTGAGAATGAAAAATCCCACCTATATGTTAAGCTTCTATGTTAGGGTCTTCCTGTCACTGGTGGCCATCTGCACTCATGACCAAGATACTATCCAAGTTACTTTCTAATAGGAAAAAAAAAAAAGGTGGGCAAAGTTGATGACTTAATACTCAGTAAGACACCCCAAATATTTACCTTCTGCTCTGACCACACCCATTAATCCCACCATGTCTCAACTACAATTAGAGTTAAATCAGTTCGGTGATGCTTTCTCCTCTTAGCCCAGTCTCTTTCACTTGGTATGACAGTAGCTAATGGCTGACCTTGGATGACAGATGTAGAAATGTCTGAGGATATTTCCTTTTACAGGTACTCTTTTTTTTTTAAGATTTTATTTATTTATTTGAGAGAGACAAAGAATGTGAGCAGGGGTAGGGGCAGAGGGGAAGGAGACAAGCAGATGACCCACGGAGTGGGGAGCCTGACACGGGGCTGGATCCCAGGACCCTGAGATCATGACATGAGCCAAAGTCAGACACTTAGCTAACTGAGACACCCAGGCGTCCCTCCTTTTCCAGGCACTCTTAACCAAAAGTATCGAGAAAATCTTCTGTCAAATGGAGCCATATTGGCTCAATGGATCGAACCCTGGAAGAGAGAACAGCAGTCCCCTCACTCTGTGGTGATGGGGCGGAGGACGCTCCAAGCTAAGGCTGCTATGCCAGGTTCTCTTAACACAATCAGAGCTCTCTCTGGAGGGATAGTCGTGGAATCTGATGCTTTTAGCACTGGAAGGATTTACCCACAACAATGTTCATTTGCCTGGAAAATATTCTTTTTGCTGCCATGCGAGTGAATACCCTCAAAGGGGTTGAACCAAAACACTGGGTCACAAGCTTCATGCAGATGTGGCCAAACTCACTCTGCAGACACTCTTGATGCCTAATTTATAAGAAACACACAAAAATATCTCCTTTAACCTAATATGTTCTACGACCACCTGACAAAAGGCTACTAGATCCATGATTCTGATGGCTCAATATAGTTAATAGGCTTGACTTATTCAAGGAATTCATTAGATAGTTGACCAATAGGCCCAGAGAGAGAGAATATCTGGGGGAATAAAAAGCATTATGTGGTTAACAGAAAAATAAAAGAGGCGACCTCAGAGGACCAGGTAATTTGGGAGAGTGAGTTATGCAGAGGGAAACCAGGTAGAGCAAAAAAAAAATGGAAAAATGCCTCACACTGATGCCCCATAGTGAAGCCACCTGACCTGAAAAACATCCATTTCTTTCTAGGGAGAACTGTAAGTCCCTGGACTTATTTCTAGATCATTCCTATGCAACATTAGTGACACAGACCACAGTACTATATGTGGGGCGCCTGGCACACAGCAGAAGAGGAACAACATGATGATGGCCAAGGTCTGGGAGTCGGGCAGACCTTGTTTCAAATCCCAGGTGTGTGGCCCACTAGCTATATGGTTTGGTGAACAGAACGTGAGGCCACTTCTCACGGCTTCAAGGTGAAGACCCATGCAGACCAGGCAAACAAGACGCCAAATTCACCTGAGGACGCGGGCTACAAAGAGATTGCCTTCAAACAGACAAAAAGGCTCAGGTAAACACAGAGATGCCCCTCTGGGATACAAGGGATTGGAAAACAAATGAACAGACCTGAAGGTTTGTCTTTAAGTTTGAGACCCGGGAAAAGGCCCTTGCACTAAATGAAATGTGGGCACTAACTGAGGGGAACCGTCAGAAGCAGGAGAGGGCCTCAGCTGGAACTCCCATCTAATTCCCTGGGACCATTCGTCCACTTCTACATCGGTTTCCGCTCCGTGACTGCCGCAACTCAAGTACACATTTTAGACAACCATCTAGTAAGGCAGACAATAGAATAGACATGAGAACTTCCAATGTAATTTCATCAGCTCCATATAAAAACACCGATGACGCTGACCGTGGATAAAGCAGTTTGTACTTAAATACCTTTTCAACCAAACTTCGAAAACCTAGAAAATCTATTGGGTCCAGTACATAAAGTCCTTCCAGAAAGTGTAAATTAAAATTTGTTTTTAGAATGATGGTACAAACTCCTCTTTTCAGTTTTGTTTTAGAGACAAAAGAAGTCCTTGTTCAGACTCTTCATTGGTAAATATAAAAATTCCAAAAATTAAAAAAAAAAAAAGTATCTTAAAAAGTATGGAATTCTATTTTGAAAGAAAAGGTGAGCACGTACACAGATATAAATTAGGCCACAATCTGTGATCTAAATATTTAAGTACAGAGATTCTGCCATGCAGCATAAATCTATAATAAACAGAAATTACTCCCACGCATTTGATTTCTCCTACATGGGAGAGGACTAACAGGGCTTTGGCTTTTGCAAAATGGTAAAGGCCATGCCCCTCACCATAAGGTTGGTTTTACAGTCACTGAAAAATGATCTTATCCAAAACAACTCCAATAAAATCACCTACTCACTGAAGTTGCCACTTCGGTTCCAATGGTTTATATAATATACTTTAGCTCATCCACAATTACCCTTTAATAAAAAACATAACAACGCTGGAAGAGGTACTATTTCTGGAGTTATGAAACTTCAGGTTTTAAATAGTAGCATTCCCAGGGGTGCCTGGCTGGCTCAGATGGTTGAGCGTCTGCCTTCAGCTCAGGTCATGATCCCAGGGTCCTGGGATCGAGCCCCGCGTCGGGCTCCCTGCTCAGTGGGGGGCCTGCTGCTCCCTCTCTCACTCCCCCTGCTTCTGTGCCCTCTCTGGCTGTGTCTCTCTGTCAAATAAATAAAATCTTTAAATAAATAAATAAATAAATAAATAAATAAATAAATAAATAGTAGCATTCCCATTACCAATATTAGTGTAATCAATAACAGTAAAGCTAAGATAAACTGTGCAAGGAAATATACAGAAAGAGCAAACACAGCAGAATGGCTAAGGCCAAGAGGGCTTTGTGTTCAATCCTTTTCCCCACTGCTTAACTGTGTGACCCAGGCAAGATACTTAACCTCTCTGAGTCTTTGTTTCTTCACCTCTAAAATGAGAAAAACAGTGGAACCCATCTTAGAAGCTGCAATGCCTGGCACATAGTCCTCGATAAATCTTAACTAGGCTGATGTTACTGTTGTTGTCATCATTCCATCAGTATTATAGTTTACAAAGAACTTTCACATGCAGTAGCTTAGAACTCTCAACAATAGCACAGAGAAATACTCCATTTAAAATTCAATTACATTACACGTCAAATATATGGAAAGAGTATGATTCCCACCATCCTCTGGCTCTTTCTGACAAGCCACAAGGAGACAGAGAGTCATATATAAAATGTTACTGGGTGGATACAAAAATAATTTACAGGTGTAGTAGTTAATAAACACTAACATCTCTTGAGTGCTCACAATGTTCCAGACAGTTCACTAAACATTTCAGATGTGTTACCATTACTTAAAGAAACTGTAATAGATGCTGCCCTTGAGGAACTGAGCCCAGTCCCATTACATGCCCCAACGTTACTGTTAAATTGATGTAGGCAGGTTGACTTCAGAGAACACGCCAAAGTACCACCCCACTTCCCCGAATTGACGTCCTTTGAAAACAAACATTTGCAAAATATTCTGATCACTTTGCTCATTAACTACAACAGAAACGGCCAGTATTGTGCTCGCTTCTCTAAAGACGCAGGCCCTATTCACTTTTCACAAGTCATCTCTCCTCTGCACGGACAACTCTCTTACAGTCATGTTAATGAGAGCATCTAAATGCTCTTCCCTGGTGAGCAATACTTTTTCCTTGTGCTTCTAGAATTCTAGTTTACGTACTTACTGGTTTACCATTACATAACTACTAGTGTATATATATGTTACATAGTTCTACTATTCTAGGATTCCCCGGAGATAGGATATACACTGATCCCAGTAATGAAAAAAGTCATGAGAAAAATGCTCCTTTTTACTCATACTGTCATCATCTAGTTCAGGATTCTTACCATGCAGTTCAGTAGCCCATGAACCCCAGATTATAAATACATTTTACGTATTTATATACATATACATATATATATACAATATACAAAATTATATATTTGTTTTCTGGTTTTGAAAACTATTGCATTCATCAGAGTCCTCGAAAAATCCCCAAAGTGTTTTTTAAAAAAAACCATTCATTTAGACAGAGATCCTCCTGAAATAAATTCCATCACCATACAAATTTTAAAAGGCTTTGTGGTTCACACACAGAATGTGCTCTGAAATTTCAATGCTTTATGATTTCTTGCCAGAGTGACAGTGAAATTCATAAGGGACAGCACTCTGGATTAAGACCACGGAGACCTGCTCCTACAGAAATTCTCTGTATAGGTGACCTTGAGGAAATCAACGCAAATTTCTGGACTTAGTTCCATGATCTGGAAAATAATTGTGTTTTAACAGATGATTGCAGGGTTTTCTCCCCAACTCAATGATTCGATGACATAATAGTGCCCCACACACACTGCAAAATAAGAAAAAAATTCCTTAAGCCACTTACATCACTAATGAGTTTGGTGCATTTTCTGGCCAATTCCATCCTTAGGTCTTCAATAACAGGCTTAAAAAACACCTGTCCAGAAAAACAAGGAAAGGAAACATTTTTTTCTAAAGATCAACTTAGAGGAACAAATACCCTTCTTCAGCTGGTGTGTTCCCACTCACCGTGTCATTTTCATCTTCTTCTTCCTCTGTTTTTCCCTCTTCCATTTCATCTTTTACATCCTCAAATATAGGGACCCTCATTTTTACTCTATGTATAGAGGTGTTTTTTCTTTTCTTTTCTTTCTTTTTTTTTTTTTTTTTTTTTTTTGAATTCTCGGGAACAGCCCCTTTCTCTGTACTACAGCACCTTTGAGCTCTTGGAGTCTCTGGTGTTCTGGCAGAAATGACCTTGCCCAGGCCTCATCCCTATTTAGTTCACACTTCACCCTCTTATCACAACTGCGTGTGAGTGGATGGATGGGATTGCGGAGGTCAGCCAGGGCGAGCCTCCCAAGTGGAAATACCACTCCAATGGGCAAAATTCAATTTTGTGACCTTTTAAAGTCAACATTCTCTAAACTGGGTAAGCAATCCAAAAGAGACCATTTATTTATATTTCACTAATTTAATTCATTCATAAAATAGTTTGAGAGAAACTTAAAGATTGTGGGAAAAATGACTCCACTATAACACTCAAGATAGCAGAGCCCAAAGCCTGTTATCTCAAAGATTTCTCAACTCCATCTAAATAAAGCTTTTGCTGGGACGTCAGACATATCTCGGATTTGGTATAGTGAATCCAGATCATTGAAACCTAAGTTAAATTTTTTATGAGACATACACATACTTCTCACATTCTAAAAGGTACTAACTTTAAATTAGCTAATTAAAGGCTAGTAATTTATTATGAAAAGCCCTTTGAACCACTTCAAAGAATCTATTCTGAGTTAATTATGACTGTTAATCTTATATTGCTATTGTATTATTTTAATTGTAAACATCATTAAACATGAGAAGTTGCAATTAACATAGGTTGATATATCATTTAAGAATTCTAGAAACATCATTGTTTCAAAAAATAATAACCATGCTCTTCCAATTCTGCCCATTGTGTCAATTTTTATAAATTCACTAGCTTTTATATTATAAAATATTCACTCTTTATATAATCCTCAATGTGTACTGCATGCCTGGAAAAGCTTGGAAAAATATTTATAATGTAACATGTGTCATCAGTTATATAGTTAAAAATATATTTCTCAAAAAATCCTTTATTGTCAACTTAGGCAATAACAAGGGTCTATGCAACTCATAATTTGTCATTATTGATTTTCTTCTTAATTGCCTTGGCCTTACCTAAACTAAAAATTCTGACAAGAAAAATATTCTAACATCTATATGATATAGATTATTCCTCAAATTGTTTTCCATGAGGCTAAAATTCCACAGAATACTCTGGAGGGGGAAGGAGGTTTCTTAAGCAAATATGTTTCGAAAAACCTGTATATTCATCTCTACCCCTATGACTTAGAGATCCACATGCCATAATGACAAATCAGAAGCTCCAAGAAGACCCACAACCAAGAAAACTGGTTAGGTTTTCTTAATCCAGCATTTCTGAAACATGAAATCCTATTCATCTAATCTAATCTTATCTACCTACTTACCTACCATTTTTTAATGATACCCGATGCTCCAGAAAATTAACATTCTTCTGTGAAGTATTACTTAGGGAAACATTATCCTACTCTGAAAAAATAATGTATTCTAGAATAGTTGTTGGTCTTTTCATGAGATGATTTTTGATACAGGCTAACTTAATGGCATCACATATCCTGCTTACTAGCAAAATGCCAAAAAGAAGTCCCCAAGGGCACTGAATTTGGAAACCTTCACTTTTAAAGTAACAACTATGTTATTTTAAACATAGCTGTGTAGAGAATTCTACAAGGAATCTCTCTGCACATTATATTTGTTCCATAAGGGAGCAGAATGTCTGACCTCTGTTTCCCTCAAGTCTTCTGTCAAAAGACTGTTCTAATATTCTACAGAAGATCTATCACATAATCTTTATTTGGAAAAAGGGAAGAGCAATTTCTGTAAGCTTTTCTATCAAACTTCTAGAAGCATGAGGAGAAAATTTCACCAAAGCTGCTTCAGATGACTTGTGTCGCTCATAGTGACATCTAATCCCATAGTGAGTTACCTTCAGTGAACTGCAATGGCTGCTTTTCCTCATTTCCCATCATGTAATATGTGCTTATTGACTCTCCACTGTGCTGGAAGAAAATAACCTGTTGAGATTATACACAGAAGTTCTGAAAGCAAAACCAAACACCATACGCAAGGTAAACACACATTTTCCATTTGTGGATTTTAGAGTCAGAATTTTAAACCCAGAGGGATCCTTAAGAAATCAATCTTACTGGGGCGCCTGGGTGGCTCAGTTGGTTGAGCGACTGCCTTCGGCTCAGGTCATGATCCTGGAGTCCCGGGATCGAGTCCCGCATCGGGCTCCCTGCTCGGCAGGGAGTCTGCTTCTCCCTCTGACCCTCCTCCCTCTCGTGCTCTCTGTCTCTCATTCTCTCTGTCTCAAATAAATAAATAAAAAATAAAATCTTTAAAAAAAAAAAAAGAAATCAATCTTACTAAAAGCCCTCTCTTTTACAGAGGACAAAATTAAGACCAAGAGAAATTAATTATTTGTCTCATTCACAAAGTTACTCAATGGAATACCAGGACCAAAGCTTAATCAGAGCTTTACGTTCATTCATTTAAATAAGTGTTGCTATGTCAGACACTGACTGTGCTTGGTGCTGGGGATGTAATGGTGAATAACCATAGTCTGTGCTAAGATAAGGCAGGAAAAAAAAAAAACATCATTCAAGACGTGCTGGATGAACCCCTTAATGGATTGTTTGGCAAGCTACATACATTATTTCTTCTGATTGAATGGATCTTCTTTTTTTTTCCTCTCTCCTGTAAGTATGATATAAAATTCATGTAAAGTTTTCTTGAAAACATTTTAAGCCTTGCACTTTATCACAGCAAAGCTCTCTTGTCAGTAGCTCCCAGATGCAACTTGGGAAATAAGAAGAAAGTTCTTTATGGATAGCTATCATGTTTCAAAATTCCCTATCTCCCTCTTTTTTTTTTAACCAAGTTAAATGTCATGTTTAATATATATCTTCACTTTGGGGCACCCCAATAAGGGAATATCAGTATAACTGCCAATCCCTTTTGCTTATTGTGTACTTTATGTATGTTGCCTACCTCTTACTTTAGTACTCTACCCATGCCCTCATACTGAATGAGACCAACGTGGGGATCACATTATTTATGGCAAGACCCTCGACTTCCCTCTATGACTCTCCCACATCTTCTAGGGCAAATTTTTTAATCCCTCTCCACCCTAATTCTCCATAGTTAAAGAGAAAAACCAAATTGCCAGAAGTTATTAAAAGCAAAGCAGTTAAAAAATAGCAAAGCTTCTCATAAACACAAGATTTGTCAACTGTCCAACAAAGTTATACAGTTCCAGGAAAAGCACTTGATATGAAAGGGTCTTCTCATTTCACCGGGTAAGACTCTATAATATCAGTATGTGTTTAAAGGCCAGAAGAGCCTCATACAGCCTAACAGCCTAAAGATAAGGGCTAACTTGCATATTACAATACAGAAGTCTTCTTTTTTTTAAGGTTTTATTTATTTGAGAGAGAGAGAGAGAGAGAGGGAGAGGGAGAAGCAGACTCCCCACTGAGCAGGGAGCCCGATAGGGGCTTGATCCCAGGACTCTGGGATCATGACCTGAGTCGAAGGCAGACGCTTAACCGACTGAGCCACCCAGGTGCTCCCAAAAGTCTTTAATCTGTTTAGAGTTTGATGTTTTTGTGTAAGCAAATGTATTTCCATAGCAACTGCCAGGTCCCAGGGGTGATTCAGGTCTTGGGACAGAGCCCCTGGCCAAGGAAACTCCTGTGTACGAACAACACCTGTCCTGCAGTGTTCCCCTGTCTACAGGGCTCTTAAGGTCATGTGCAGTAAGAATTGCCCAGATTGTGATCAATGTTTCATACTGACATCACTTTTTCCTCTTTTCTTGATAGTGATAGAACATGTGCTTTTTGCCTACATGGTGATGAGAGACTTGCAAATGAAAATCCATAATAATTAAAATAGATGGAGATTCAGTTCTGAGTTGAGGGAAAACTTCCAGAGATAAACTGAATTTTTCCATCTTAGGAATCAATTCAAGATTTCTTATTACAAAATATTCCCCCTGAATGGTTAGATGAGAGAGGAATTAGTTCATCTGACTTGTTTGCCTGTCTTGGCAGTCTTTCATAGACCTGTTTTCAGTTGCCTGGGTTTTTTCTTTTCTTTCTTTCTTTCTTTTCTTTTTTTTTTTTTTTTTATGACTACCTCCCAGAAGTCTCAGTTGAACCCCTGGTCGTTTTACTTCTGCCTCACATAGTTCCTCACAGTTTGGCAACTGTCCAAAAGAGAACTTTACTGGTAGATGAGGGGATGAAATTGTTTCTTCAAACCAGAAATGTATGCTCTCTTGGGCAATTTGTCTTCTTTATAAAAGACAAGAGCTTCGCTTAATATTAGCCCAATCTATTTTTACAATTTACATTCATTAAGCCCATCTTCTCCTTTTTAATGGTCGTTTCATTACTGTTTGTTAATTAGAAATCAAAAGAATACAAAGCAACCTGAATAATTGTCACCATTACTAATTATCCCATTAAAATAAGATTTAATAGAATGGGGGTTTTTTTGTATTCATGTTCCTGTTTTCACAAGTAGAGATCCTGTTCACAAACGAGAGCTATATATCTAAACTGGTATCAGAGGAGGAGAACAACAAGAAACTGCAAATCATTTTTGGCACAATTTCCGGGTCAGGTGTGGTTGGGATGCCAAAATCAAAAGTATTGTTCCAGATGTATTGACTGAGGGGCATGTGTTCTCATTCAGAGTCCACATTTACACGAGCATCCAGCGAACTGAAGGACTTTGATTTAATTCACTGCTTACTTGAGACATTAGTTCAGTATAAACAACAGTGAAGCTCATACAGTCACTTCCACAGGCCTTCCTGCTGGGAGAAGCCCGAGGTCTGAGTGGCCTCTGTAAGCCTTGTAACCAGAACCAAAGGGCCAGGCTCAATCAAACAGCTTGGCTATACCAAAAAGTATCCCTTTCCTAGAATTTCGTGCGAGATGTGTCAGGAAGAATTGTGAAAGACTTTGAAA